TTTTTAACATTTTATTAGGGGCTCATACAACTGTTATCCCAATCCATACACACATCAATTGTGTAAAGCGCATTTGTACATCGTTTCTCAAAAAAAAAAGGAAGATTTTAAGAATAGAAGATTTAAGTTATAAGTATAAAAGTAGAGAATATAACAGTGCTTTTATTTTTATTTTATTATTATTTCAAACCACTTTATTGTTTAATGTAGTGCTTTTAAACACATTTAAAAATCTTTATATTGCTCTATTTACATCTCAATAATTATTCAGTCATTGCCCTTACAAAGTTATAAAATCAGAATAACTGAGAATATTATATCTTCCCATTTTTAATATAGACATCCTAATTTTCCTTACTATTTAATCAAAAGATCACACCCAAGCCTGGTGGCATAGTGGTTACATGTTGTGTGCTAACCACAAGGTCAGCAGTTTGAAACCCCTAGCCGCTCCTTGGCAGAAAGACTGGGTCTTTTATCCCCATAAAGAGTTATAGTCCCGGAAACTCAAAGGGGCAGTTCTACACGTTCTTATAGGGTCACCGAGTCAACATCTACCGATGGCAGTGAATTTGGTTTGGGGGTTTTGATCAAAAGAGTAAGTTCTTGAGAATTCTGTGGTCTCAGGTGCTATTGTTTTCTAATGAATTTCCTTTCACTAAGATCAATGGATCATATTAATAATAAAACCCAACACATGGGGCCTTAATAGCTATAACCTGTTTAATAATCTACTGTTGTGTGTTTTCGGTTCTTCATTTAATGAAGAGGAAGAAATGCTCCAAGGGCCCTATGTTGCAATCCTCTAGTCATTGCGTTCGACTTGTTTCCCTCGACAGACAAGCAAGATGAGATGCGTTCCCGGGTGGAAGAGCTGACTCTCAGAAACCAGCTGGGAAGCAGTTAGGGGAAGTTTTCAAAGACAAGGAGACAATAGTGAGCTTGATGAACGAGACACAGGAGAAGAGGCCAGAGGTCTAGCGAGAACCAAGAGATAACAGTGTTTTGATGACAATTTTCTTAGGATTGTGTCATTATATTATTGCTGGCTTAGTTGAACTTATAAAAAAAGTGACACTGAAATAAATTAGTAGGAGACTTTAACATTATGCTTGGAGATTCCTTGGACCCCAAACCAGTGCTGGTTCCAGTCTAGAGCAGGGAGGTGTCCAATGAAAAAGCCTGTCGAGTTCGGAGGTGGCTCTAGCTCTGAACAAATGCTGCTCCTGCCTCCCCCCAAGACTCAAACTTCTGCTGTGGTTTTCCCAGGCTGAGCTTGCTCTCTAACCTTCTCTGCGGCTTCTCCTCTTCAGTTGCTTCTACTCTTACAGCTTCTCAGACAGTGGGCTTCTTCAAAGGGGGAAACAAAATACTGACTAGAAAGAAAAGAAAGTTCAAGGTTCAATTCAGTTTCCTTCACTTGATTATTGTCCCACTGGGGCTTTTTTTATTGGACTGTGCGTGTGTGTATGTTTGCTATTTTCTCCAGATTTTATTTTAAGCTCTGGAGGGAGAGGACCAGATTGCTCTGTTCTTCAGAAGCCTCTGAGGACGTTAGACTAGGGTTATGGCGATGCCACAACTCCAGAGGCAGATCAGGCCTACTATCTGTTTTTGTTTTAAGCTTTTATTGGAGCACAGCCACCTCCATTTATTTACATATTACCTATGGAGTTGAGTAAGTCGTGACTGGGAGCACAGGGGTCCCCAGATTAAGATATTTACTCTGTGGCCCTTTATGGAAAACGTTTTCTGATCTCTGCTTTAGACTAATACCTTGTACACAATAAAACCCAAACTCCTGGAATCAAATCGAGCTCAACTCATGGTGAGTAGCATTGCTCCATAGGGTTTGTGTGGCTTTAAATCTTAAGAGGACTAACCAGTCTCATTTTCTCCCATGAAGCTACTGGTTGATTCGAACTGTAGAACCTTTGGTTAGTAGCAGAGTACCCAATCCACTAAGCAACCAGGGCTCCATTTTCACATAATGAGCACTCAAAAATATTTGTTGAAAAACATATTTTTCCTTCTCAAGAAAATATTGTCTAGACTCCCAATTAAAGGGAAGTTTTCAAATCAATTGCCTCCTGTGCCAGGACCAAGCGGGTGTTAACAAAAAAGATAAGACAATTGAGACTTAAGGGAAAATATTGGAGAAAAAATGATACTGGAGAAAAATAGTTCTTGGTTTTTTCTTTCATTGATTCTCCTTTTGTCCCAGGCCATGTTTTCAGATTTCATTTTATTCTTAGTTCTTTCTCTTTGGGTACCTTTAAGACTTATAAATTATTTACATATTGATACCAATTCTGACTCTAGAAGCAGTCAGTTATTACCTCTTATAGATGATCTCTTCAGGGGGAAGGAACTCCAGTAAATCTAGTTCACCTTCTTACCCAATGCATAAATGCTCCCTGTGCTGGCTGCACATACAATCCAGCATGGGTCACAAGGTCTCAGTTAACTTTCAATTAAAATGCAGGTTTGTAAAGTGGATACTCATTGGACTGACTGAACTCAAGGCTTTCAACATATTTGGGGGAACATTCTGAGCCTGAGAATTACTGTTTGGTTCTTAGTCATACACTTAACCCACTAACCCACTGCCATCGAGTTGATTTCAATTGAGAGCAGCCCTATATATGCAGAGTTTCTAAGGTTCTAAATCTTTAGAGTAACAGACAACCTCATTTTTTGCCTGCGAACTCCAACTCATAGTGACCCTCTGAGCCCTGATCGAGTAGTGGATTATGTGTTTGGCTGCTAACCACAAGGTCAGTAGGTCGAAAGCACTAGCTGCTTTGTAGGATAAAGATGAGACTTTCTATTCCTGTAAAGAGACGCAGTCTCAGAAATGCACAGTGGCAGTTCTAGTCTGTCCTATAGGGTCACAATGAGACCTGGGAGCCTAGAGACGAAAAAGAACTGCAGACGCGTAGACCCTGTATCCTTTCCCTAGCTTATGAAGATGTTTATGATGGCACATACATTAGATATACATGACTCCCCTTCTAAAAGTGCTTCTATGCAAATACCAGGTATCATTTCTCACCTCTGATCTCCCCCAATACATATTTTCCACTGCAGCTGGTTTCTTTGGGTGAGAAGGGCCTGATTCTGTCGGAGCTGGCCTTGTTGGCTTTGCTGATGTGCAGGCCCAGCTTGAAAGGATCTCTTACTGGGTGATTAACGCTTTCATGCTGATTTTTAAATCCAGCCCAAGACACCCATGTTCCAAAATCACCTAGAGTGGAGACCCCTGCTCCTCCAATATCCAAGCAGAACCACCAGCCCGGTAAAACATGTGGTTCTGAGCCCAGAGACTTCCTAAAAAGGACATGTAGATCCTTCAGAGCATTCTTTCAAAGCAGAAGTCTGCAGAGCTTTGTGGGAGCTGTGACTCCTGAGCCCCACCCCCAAATTATATGCAAGCATTTGTGTATGCAAACATTTACAGAGTGAAGGAGCACATGACTCTCAAAGGGACCAATTATTAGGGGTTTTGTTTTGTTTTTTTAAAGGTAAGGCTATCAGGTAGTCAGACAGGGATGGGTTGTCCCTCCCTATGCTTGTACAAGGCCCCCTACAAGAGACTGGGAAGAGAATTAGCTACCCATGCTCCAATTCAGCCACTCCCACTCCCCCTCACCAAGCCAGATGGGCGTTACCCCTGGGTGGCCCAAACTAGGCCCAGGCTCGTGACCCCACCAGGTGGGCTTACTTCAGTCAGTAAGGTCGACCAATACCTTCCACCACACCTCTTCAGCTGTAGGTTTCAAATACCAGGCTGCAGGATGACGGTCCCTCGGACTTTCACTCCTGGTCTGTGGCCGTTGGGAGAGGATTCTCTCCTCTCTTTTACCCTGCTCTGGTGCCCACTTGTGCTGTGCTGCTTGCTCTCGGGCCTCAGTTCACCACATGTGGGCGTGCAGCCCCACAAAGTTGCCTGTGTTCAGTGGTGAGCCCCAGCGCAGCTTCCACGCAGTTTGGCACACTTCCCTAAAATAGTGTGTAATCTTCTGAAACTGTAAAACCTGAAACTTCTCCTGTCCTTCATTAAAAACTCACTTGGATTACAAGAGGTTTCCTCATGAATTCTTTCTCATGCGAAGTCAAGAACTGAGATATTAGCCACTCGAGAAACCTCACAAGGCCACTGATCTAGAGCCTGTACTGTGATCTAGAGCCTGTACTGTAATCTAGAACCTACACTGTGATCTAGAGCCTGTACTGTGATCTAGAACATGTTCTGTGGACCTAGAGCATGTACTGTGATGATCTAGAGCTTATACTGTGATCTAGAGCATGTACTGTAATCTAGAGCCTGTACTGTGATCTACAACATGTACTGTGGATCTAGAGCATGCACTGTGATGATCTAGAGCATGTACTGTGATCTAGAGCATGTACTGAGGTAGGCATTGATCATGCCCAGCTGGACACAGGTTTATGTGGGAAAAATTGGGCATGTCAAAGAACAAGGGTCAGGTTAAGTAGATTCCTCAAGAACTTTGAATAGCCTTAATTCGGTTCACTTTGAAGTAGGACTCTTCCATTTCAAGGAAAATTTCAGGGAAACTAACATTTACTGTGTATTTCTTACATGCTAAGAGCTTTAATCCTTTACTTCTATGACATTCTTATATATTGTAGGTGTTATTCAATTTTATTTTATAGCCATGGGGACTTATCCCCAGGGTTTAAGCTGTTGAACGTTACACAGATAGGAGGTGGTTAAGGTAGCAGTCTGTCTCCATTATTTAGTGCATGTACTCATATCTACTCAATTATGCCCGCTATCACAAGCACTGAGCTTGTGTTTCACTGTGATTCATTGTGTTTGGATGAATCTACCCTGGTTCACAGCCTTGTGGAAAAAGCCTTTTTATGTAACTACCCTATTTTCTTAGGGGCAGTCATTGACTTACACAACTTTGCTTCTCGTATTTCTTCATTTATTTATGTGGCATGGAAATTGCAAAAGTTGCTGTTTATACTGATGAAAAAGTAAACATCAGATTTCAAAGACTTCAGGGACTTGGAACATGCATGTACATTTTTCAATTCAGGTCACTTGGTTGATACTTCAAATTCCTCGTAGATAAGAGTTTAGATTTAAGATAAGTGGAGAATAACTTGACAGACAGGTGGAGACACGACTTGCCAGTTGGAGGGCAAGTCTAGGTTCAAGCCTTCAATGTGGGGATTAGAAACGTAGTCTCGGTGGAGATTCCCAAAGCCCTGAAAGCTCTTTGACCCCTTGAAGTGGCGCTGGATTCCAAGGTGTAACAGAGATGTCACAAGTTTCTAGCCAGAAAAATCTGAGGGAACATTGATTTCCCTTGATTCTTATTGAACCATGTGTATATTTAATCAGGAGGGATCTGAAGGATCAGGCAGGAGCTGAGTTTGGAAGGGAAGGCCTTGGGTCACAACTGGAATTTTTGAGTCATAAAATTTGGAAGACAAACAGCTTTGTTCCAGGCAGTTAAACTCAGGGGACAAACTGTTGACTTTCTCAATATTGATTTAACTTCTTCCTAAAGGCAATCTCTGGGTTAGGAATGCAACCTATAGGTATGAACCAATACCTACAAAGCCTAGATTATTAAAAATTTGAGTATGTACAAAACTCATAACAAAATAGACTATTTGTGACCCACATTAAGACATTATTACTCTTATCTGTAGTGTTGTTTTCATGGTGTCTCAGTACATCTGGAAGTGTTTCTTTGTGTATAGAAAGATATGCTGTATACTAAACACTAAGATAAACATTTGCCTAATGAACAGGGGATAAAAACTGTAACTGCTCCAATGTATAAATATTTGACTTAAGACAGATTTAGGAATGAAACTTGTACATAATGTGGGAACTGCCTGTACTTCTGTGTGTGCTAAAGTGGATTAGTGGACTTGGTTTGGAGAACAGATATAATTTATTGCACTCACTTAAAATATAGATCATGTGACCTCATGGAGGATGGTATTAGTTTAGCCTTATCCTTATTCTAAGATGTCATCAGGTGATGGTTAAGAGTTAGGCTGCTGACCAAAAGGCTGGCAGTTTCAGTCCCTTGGAAGAAGGGCCCAGCGATCTATTTCTAAAGGATCAGGACCACTAAAAATCCTATCCAGCACAGTTCTACTCTGACATACTGGAGGTTGCCATGAGTCAGCATTAACTGGACAGCTACTGGAATCCTTATCTTGAAGAGCTTGTGTCTGAAGAGCTTGTGCTTGGAGTCTAAGGTAGTCCAATACATGGACTGGCTTTTTAAAAATCCACCTCTTCTCTGAGCTCAGCAGCTCTAGGGCATGCCCCCAAATCCCTATACAATTGTAGAGGAGAAAGGAACTTAAGCAAATAATGTAGGCTCAAGAGGTCTTTTGCACAGACCCAAGTTGGATAAAGTCTCCCATCAACTGACTCTTAGGTTGTCTTTACCTTAGTTGCTAAGAAAAGCCACATCTTTGAGCACTAGAGGAAATTACCAAAGCAGTTCCAAGGACAAGAGAGGACGATGTTGAAATGCAAAATCATCAAAACTGTGAGGGGGAAGGGAAATCAAAGAAAGACTAACAGATTCACTAACAGTGAGAGAGTTGTTGTGAACAGTCTGTCAGTATTCAGATCTGACTTATTCCACAGTGTGTACTCTTAAATATATGTCAGTGGTTTAAAAAAAATGGAATCTTCCAAGTATTCAGGGAAGATATAGTCTGTTGGATAAGAATGGCATAATGAGATGGTGGCAGTTAGGGAAGACTACATTTGGGAGTGAACTTCAAGGCACCACTACTGACTGGCTGTAGTGGTCTGTGGTGCTATCAGAGAAAGAACTCATGGAAAGATCTTATAAAGAGGCAAGAGAACCACTTTGTAGATCAACTCTGAGCTGCTTCCAAAATCCATGGCAATCCCAATGGGTTACAGAATAGAACTGATCTCCATAGGAATTTCTTGACTATAATTTTTATGGAAATGGATTTTCAGCACTTTTTTTTTGAGGCGCTACTGGGTGAGTTAGAACTGCAAATGTATTCGAAAGAAGCCAAGGGTGATTTCAATACAAGAAATGGGAACTTCATCCTGTCGTGGAGAGTTAGTGCAATTTTTGGGGGGTGAGAAATGGAAAATGAGTCAGAGATGACTTACGAAAAGGGAGAATAGAATAGAACTGCAGAAAGAGCCAGGGACAGGACTTTCCAGGAAGCTTGCCTGGAGTGCCATGAATCATTGTGAAAAGGGAAAGCAAGTGGCCAATATGGTCAACACGCTCAATATTGTGAGGATCTATCTGCCCAGCGTTGGAGTCACTGGGTAACACAAACATGCCCAGTCACTAACTGAAAGGTTGCAGGTTCGAGTCCATAAGGACTTGGTGAACTATTTTGAAGATTCAGCTATTGAAAATTCTATGGAACACAGTCTTACTCTGACACACATGGAGTTCCCATGAATTAGAATTGACTGGATGGCAACTGGTTTCAATCCTGTGTTGACCAATCTGTGCATCTCTCTGGAAAGATGTAATTCAGCTGAAAAGAGCAAGGAATCCAGATTGGGACTATTGTGAAGGAAGAAGGGAAATTTGACATAAATTCCCAAGGTGCTGTTCTTTGAAAGTGAAATCACGTACATGAATAAAACTTAATTAGTTGTCCTACATACTATGTACTCTTGTAGGTACTGTACAGGCTGGAAGAACATAGGAAAGTGGAAAGTGTAACTTGATCTTGTGTACCAATACACTACCCAGATTCCTATTTAGGTTAGATTTCCTCATGACAATGAAATAACTACATATTAGTGCATAGTCTGAAGGCCAATTTTGTACACATTTCCAAGAGGGAGCTGAAAATGGTAGAAGTGGATAGGTGAGAGGCATGCCTAGGAGAAAGTTGGGGGAAGGCACTAGAAGAAAGGATGACATTTAATTTCAATTTTGTTCTCATAATTTGTATTGGTGATGGAAATTTTCTCCACAAATAGAATATAGCTCTTTCATTTTTCGGTTCCAATAGTGACTTCACCTTCTCCAACGCAAACAGCAATAACCCAGCCTAAGACAGCACAGCAAACTGAGGCACAAGCCACCAGCCTGCCATGGTCCTCTTGTTCAACAGGTAACTAACTGTCCTTTCTTTACTGATGACCTGGGAAAAGTCAAGTTCTTATTTTTAACTTTTTAGCATAACCATTGACAGATACATAAGAGCACGTGTTCTGAAATAAGACAGATCTGTTTTGTGTGCCAATTCTGGTCATTCCAATCAGCTATGTGACCAGCAAATGTCTTACTCTCTCTCTCATTTGGGTAAAATTGAGGTAATGCTATTCATTTTGTAGAGCGCTTGTGAAAGGTAGATGTGTCCGTCTGGGTAGACTAGAGAAACAAATCCATGGCCACACATATGTGTATAAGAAAGAGATTTATATATAAGAGCAACTGAACATTGAGAAAAAATCCCAGCCCAGTCCATAAGTTCAGTATTAGTCCATATGTCCGATACCAGTCTATAAAGTCCTGTTCAGACTCACAAGACACATGTAATGATGCTGAATGTAGAAGATCACAGGCCAGTGGGGTAGAAAGTCTTTGGATCCAGTGTCATTGAAAACATCTCATTGCTGGCAGGGCTCTCTGCATCAGGGTGGGACCTTGTACCTTGTCTGCTGCTATGTCTCCCAGGGTGTGAGCAGAGAGTCTCCTACCTCCAAGGCGGAAAATTTATCAATTCCCAGCATCCCTAGGGGAAGGCCATGCCCACACAGAGATCTCATTAGCCATATCCTGATTAACAGCCTAGACTCCACACCTACACTCTTAATCCTCAAATTGACACTAGATTATGTAACTACCACAGTAAATGAGAGGCTTGGGATAGGATTACAAGAGGGTAATTAACAAATATTAGAGCAGCTATAGGTACTGTTATGTAAACCTCCAGGATTCATATTGACCGACACAGGGAGCTTATATGATTTGGTGACATCAACATGGACATTGCTCTAAAATTTAATCAGTCCTGATTCAGAACCCATTACTGGGCTCCCTCTCTGGAGCCAGACCTTCAGCTGTTAAATACAGATTTGTGGTACTAGGCCATGCTGGTCATCATTATTATATGCTTTGTCCAAGCTTTGGGCCCCTGAACCAGCCAGGGGGTTCCCATACTGCCTTACTGTGCTTACACAGCGACATTTTGGGAACATTTGAGGATGGTAACCTCAGTATCAAAGTGCCATATCCTACTGAAATCTTGCCTTTGCACCTTCTACCTTACCCTTCTGTTAAGAATGTGCTGTCATGGCGTTCAGTCTCCTTTAATTTGACTCATCAGTCCAAGGTTAATTCTTATGAAGTGAAAGAACACGACTTTACCCTCCAACCATCTTTACCAGTTTTGACATCTCATCCCTCCAAAGGTACCCTCTACTTTTTCCTGGTAGTCATGAGTCACTGCAATGGCCACACAGAGCTCACAGACAAAACCATGATAACCATGTTTATCAGGGACGTCAACAGGCTACAGTTCCCTCGGGCATGCCTGCAGGCACACTTCTCTCTGCTTCTTAGCCTCTCAGCCATGCTGGCCCCTTGGTCTCTGCCCTGCTTGAACAATACAACAAAGCTGGTTTAGTGCTGCCAAGAAATGTCCAGGAGGTACTCCACTTTAAGTGAGCCTCAATGTACTAAATTCTAGCTTCATGCATCTCCAAATCTAGCTCTCTCTACGAAGTGCCCAGGCGGCTGCCCAAAGGCACTCAGAAAGCCCACCACTTTGTTTTGTGGTCTTGGCTCAATTCGATCTTCTGGATCAAGGAGATTTAGGATCCAAAGAACATACTCTACTCCTAGCTCTTGTTTCTTGATGGTATTGAGATTTCTGACTCTGTTGACCAATCCTCAGGTTCGAGTTCCATAAACTCAATTTGCATGGTCCCACTAATTTTGTAAGAATTGCAAAAACTGTAGCTAGGAGAGCCCTAGCAAATAATTTACTGAACCATATTTTCCAAATCTTGTCTATATTTTCCCCTTTCTTATGAATGTAAAATTGAGCATATAACATTGAAATGTAGAGAGAGGAACCATATTCACTACATCGAGTCTATTTCTTTTCATACTGACCCTATTGAACACAGTAGAATTGATTCTGAGAATTTCTGCTATCGTAATTGTTTTCAGAAGCAGACAAGCTCATCTTTCTCCCACAGAGAGGTGGATGGGTTAGAACCGTCAACCTTGTAGCTAGCAGCCAAATGCTTAACCTTAGAGAAGGGAAAGATGTTTATCGTCTCTTCCAGAGAACTCTCTTCGTTACTCATAGCAGCATGCTCATGGAATGCTACATGCTGAACCCCTTCGTGAAGCATCACTATACGGCTGGCTCTTGCATCCTTGTGTTATATCCAAGCAAGGTCAACCCTTGAAGGAACCCTCATGTGTATGCCTCCTTGTGCTCAGGAGTTGCCAATCTATAGTGATCCCTTTGAATGGGCTCCCTTTTGCCAAACACTCCTGGAAGCTGGTTAATTTAATATGGACCTACAGTGAGACTCACATAGGAACCTGTTCACGTGGGATTACAAAATTGTGACATTTCGTTTTGAAAATGAAATCCTTGAAAGGAACTGTTTCCAGGCACAAAACCAAAATGAAAATAGATAAGACCACAAGGTAGCAGCAGTGGGAGCAGCTGCATACCACACTTTTAGGTTGTGAGGAGGAAGGGAGTAGGAATGGGGAGTTATTCTTTTAAATATCATGTCACTAAAACCCGATCAAGGTAGAGCTTTCCACAGTGAAACAGACATTGGAACAGCCGTGTTCCTGGGCCTTGGGCGGCTGCCGCCTTCTTGGCAGTGTCTCTAAAGCTCCTGGGCCAAGTCCCCACTGTGCCCAAGTCTGCCCTCAGTTGGCTAAAGCATGGCTGAAGCAAAACATGTGAGGTCTGGAAGGGATTTATGGTTGTTCATGATATGGCTGGCCATACATTTGACAGCCAATCACTTACCTCATTTAATTCTTCCAAGGAAGGTCTGATTTATTCTCATTGCTAGAGAAGCCGTGCATGTGCACATATGGTCAGGAGAGACCAGTCCCGGGAGAAGGCCATTCTGCTTGGTAATAGAAGGGCAGTGAAAGAGGGGAAGGCCCACAGTGAGATGGACTGACACAGCAACTGTGTCGATAAGCTCAGGTATAGGAACCGTTGTGAGGACGGCACAGGACCAGGTAGTGTCTCCTTCTCCTGTGCATGGGGCCACTATCATTCGGAGCCAAGTCGATGGCATTTAACAAGAACAGAGCTCTACTTAAGGAACTCCGGTGCCACTGTGGGGCAAGTGTTGGGTTGCTAATCACAAGTGTGCTGGTTCAAATCCAGCAGGTGTCACATTGGAGAATGATGAGGCTGACTGTTCCCATAAAGATGTTTAGTCTTGACAGGAAGCCTTATATAGGATCACTGTAAGTCAGAGTTGATGCACTGTCCCTGGTTTGTTCTGCATTAGAGTCAAGTTCAGGTGCTAGCTGAGTGCTATGCCAGTTACTACTGTGTCCTTGGGCGGTTGGTTAACCCACCTCACTGGATGTTTGAGAGGTTGAAAGGGCATTATGTGCACCCCTCCCCTTCCATTTTATTGTGATTATTATGTCATTGTTTGTTGCTGTCAAGTGGATTCCCACCCCTGGTGTGCGCATGCTTGACAGAGTGCAACTCTTCCCCAGGGCTTGTGGGAACAAATCACGGGGTCTGTCTGATGAGAAGCCACTGGGGAAGTTGGAGTGGTTGGCAGCTGAGTTCTTTTTGTTATTGTTGTTCAAAAACCATTTTACTGGGAACTAATACAGATATCACATCATTGCATAGTTCAATCATATCAAGCAGTATTGTTCAATTGCTACAGTTTCAAAACATTTTCTTCCTTCTTGAACTCCTTGACATCAGCTCCTCTTTACCAGTCCTACCCCCTCACTGTACCCCCCAGGAACCTTTATTCTACTCGTGGTAGTTGAGTTCTTAACTGTTGACATTATAAGGACTGAGCCCTGGTGGCACTGTGGGATTTGTGTTGGGCTGGTGACTACTAAGTCAGCACTTTGAAACCACCTACTGCTCTGAGGGAGAAAGATGAGACTTTCTACTCCTGTAAAGATTGACAGCTTTGAAACCCAAACCGTAGGGGGAGTTCTACCCTACCCTGTCCTGTAGGCTTTCTCTGAGTCGGGATGGAGTGAGTTTGAGGTGGGTCATGGAATTACTGTGGGCTGCTCAATTTGAAACCACCAGCCCCTTCACTGGAGAAAGATGAGGCTTTGTAGAAACACACAAGGGCAATTCAACTCTGTTCTAAAGGGCAGCTATGAATTAGAATCGACTTGATGGCATTGGGGTTGGCTTTGAGTTTTTTGTTGTGGCATTATAGGTTAAAGTTATTTTTAAGGGTTAACATATTTCGTTGTGTATTATAAACAGATAATGCCAAAATACTGCTAAACTTCCACAATTTGACGGTGAAATATCCTTTTAGATTAGGGTGCAGGTGGTATTGGGTGCATTGGTATTATTCTAGTACATGCTTTGGAAAGGGCTTTTGGATAAAAGTATAGGCACACTTGAATACTGCGTAGGAGTGATCTACTTTGGATCTCATAGTACCTTTTACTGACATTCTGAATCTAATACCAATGTAATGTCCATTCTGATTGGTTGGTGTGATCTTTGTGTGTGTGTGTGTGTGTGTGTGTGTGTGGCAGGGATGGGGGGTGTCTCCTGGGTAGCTCAGGTGTGTAAGTGTTCAACTGCTAACTGGTGTTTCCTACCCACCGAGTGGCACCACAGAAGAAAGCCCTATTGCTTGGTTTCTGAACGCTAACAAGCTTGAGAACCCTACAGAGTGCACGTCTACTCCACAGCACGTGTGGTCTCCCAGGTCGTAGTCAGCTGGACAGCAACATTGTTTTGCTTTTACTGTTCCTTCTGGGCACAGACTGACAACTTTTTTCATGACACGAAAATGATTACTTTTAAATGACATCTTTGCTGTCTTAGTTAAAAATGAGTGTATGGAGTTCTGTGACTTCCCTAAAATGGTAGCTACAACTTTGGAATTTTTTACCCCTCCCCCCCATAAAGAAAGGGGTCTATGATCCAAAGCTGAAGGGTCAGACTCACAGGTTAAACTGATCTGTGTTAATAACGTGTTAGGACTTACCTGGTGCTGAAGCATTTGGCCATATTACTATTTCACTTTTCATCATCAAAAGACAATGTGAATGTGTTTAGTGTCTGCAGTAGAAATGCAATGCTTTTATATAATTTTAATTGATTCTCCTTCTTTTTGAGCAGATGGGAATGGTACCGTGACACAGTCTTCAGATGGCTTTTGGCATAACAATCAAACTGTAAGCATACTCTTACCTCTTTTATTAGCCAGATTCACTTCCATATGTCTCCTTGGAAGCAAGCTACCTGTGCAGTCTAACTCGACAAGACCACCCCACACATTTCCATTACGAAGGAAAGATGAAGGAAAGAGACGCTGACTCTCATTGCTGTTCATTGCTGTTGAGCTGATTTGACTCGTGGTGACTGCTCTATTAGGGTTTCTTGGCTCCCATCTTAAAAGAAGCAGATTACCAGGCCTATCTCCCATGACACTGTTGATTGAGTTTGAACTACCAATCTTTAAGTTCACTTGAAATATTCAGTTGGGTGGACTAGTTTGTTACAGATGACGGATGAGTGGTATTTTATTATACACACACACAACGTATAGACTTTCTACTGCCCAAAATTGGAAGCAAAAGGCAGGCTCATTCAAGCAGCTTGATGGAATATAGCAAGAAAGGCTACAAAGTATCTTTCGTAAAACAACATGCTTAAATCAGTGAGGTGGAGGGGAGAACCTCAGTTACACACACAAAACAAGTGAAAGCATGTTTGCTATAACATCTTAAGAACAGGATCCCTCATATCCTTTCCAACCTAACTTCCATCCTTTGTAGAAAATTTGAGACCACTGCTGTTGCTTTTCCCCCTGCATTGTTATCTTCTCATAGGAGGACTTATTGACATCGTAAACAATTTTATTATTCTGACAGTTCTTATTTTTTCTCACAGTCAGCCTGAGAAACATCTAAGTGGTCCCAGTCTTATGAAGTTCTCTTGTCATCTTTCAAATAATTTAGGCAAATGTGTCAATAGCTCCTTCTCTTTTGGCATCCTTGAACAAAAGAAACGAACTGTTACTATGTGCAAGTAACACTTAGAAGCCGCAAAATAAAAAGAGGTTGAGTGTATAAAAACAATCCTCTGATAGCAAGTGATAAAAGATAACAGCATAACTATTGAAGACAAACGATAAAGTGAAAAAGCTCAGGCGAGGTTGGACAAGTTAGTGCAGGGCCAAAATGTCCTTAAAACTATAGTGGACACAAAAAAACCAAAGCATTTCAAACCCTGTAGAGTGTCGCTCCTGACGAATGCAACAGGGTGAGACTCTGTCAGTCCATTTTCCGTCTCTCTTGCATAGCTGGAAGAGGTTGGACGTTGGCCCCCGTGGCATTTAAAGACACAGGCACTGATTGATATGATAGATGTTAAAAATTCGTGTAGAATTTGTAAACAGCTCTGCCCCAATTGCAGAACTGAAACTGTAAATGATAATATGATCAGATTTATGTGCGGGCGGGGAACTGTGAGCTTCTTTTTAATTTCATTTATCTGCAAAATAGGTGTGTTTAACAGCAAGTAGAAACAAATTAGAAACAAGCTAGGCGGTAGAGAAGGCAGGGGCTTTTTGATGCCTTGAAGATGCCATGATGTATCCTAGGTAACTTGAAACTGTATCCTAGGTAACTTGAAAATGTACAACTTGTATTTTGATTGAATAGGTAATTTCTCATTACCTTGAGAGAACTGAACAAATACATGAAAATGCATGAGAAAAACCTTCATTGCTGCTATTTTTAATCACTAAAATGTCATAAACCACCTAGATGTTGAGACTAAGGGTTTAATTATTTAAGCAGTTACACGTATCCAAGTGTCACCACTAAGCGTGCACTTGCTATGTGTATTCACTAACCAGTTCAGATGGTTACAGTGAGACAATCACATTTTGTGATGGTTGTTGATAGGGTGACATTGAGTCCGTTCCCACTGATTAGGACCCTTTCCACAACAGAACCAACATTCTGACTCTACTTCCTTTAAGACACGCGTGTGTGTTTGTTTGTTTTTTCAGTCCATGGTACTTCCAGTGTTTTAGGCCACCACCCTAATTCAAATGCATCAATTTTTCTGTGGTCTTAGTTATTCCATGTGAAGCTTTGCATGCTTATGAAGTGAACGAAAATACCGTGGTTTTGTTCAGGCACACCTTAGTCTTCAAAGCAACGTCTCTGCTCTCAGACATTTTAAAGAGGCTGTATTAGTCTGGGTACTTTAGAGAAACAAATCCACAGCAACTCATGTATAAGCGAGATTTATGTAAAGAAAGTGTGCATCACGGAAACATCCCAACCCAATGCTGCCCAAGCCCACAAGTCCAACATTAACCCATTAACCCAACACCGGTCCACAAAGTCCTCCACCTCACAAAACAGAGGCAATGATGCCGACTGCAGGAGGAAAGCTGAGTCAGTGAATGAATAAGCAGCTCAGCACTAGCAGGGGTCTCCACACAGCTGCTCCAGCACCCAGAGCTGCATCGGGATAGGTCCATGTGGCTTCTCCTTGGGGATCTCTTGTAGGAAGTCAATCTTGCAAGCTGAAGCAGGGAACTGCTAAGGCAGCTGCACCCTGGTGTGACCATCACAAAGCAAGAGACCCGAGAACTAGAAAGGAGAGGCTCACCACCCATATTTCCCTCCACCTTTCAATTAGCCCCACATGTGATTATCAGCCAGGTTGGCACAATTAACTAACTCAGAGGCCCTGTGCATCAGATTTGCCCAATTCACTATGCCATCTGATTTCTTGACTGTTGCTTTATGGATCTAAGTAAAACGAAATTCATAAAAACATGAATTTTTTCCCCTGTTTATCATGATATTGTCTATCGGTCCAGATGTGAGTAGTTTTGCTCTCTTTAGATTGACTTGTCATCCCTCCTGAACGCTATAGTCTCAGATCTTCATCAGTAAGTGCTTGAAACCCTCTTTGCTTTCAACTAGCAAGGTTATGTTATTTTCGCACTGCAGGCTGTTAATGAGACTTCTTCCATTCCAAATGGCACTTTCTTCAAATCGTCCAGGTTCTCAGTTTTTTGCTCAGCATACATATCAAAGTAAGTGTAGTGAAAGGATACCACCCCAATGCACGCCTTCTCTGACTTTAAACCATGCAGTATCTTCTTGTCCATTTGAACAATTGCCTCTTGGTCTATGTAGCGATTCCAAATAAACACAATTACATGTTCTGAAATTCCCATTCTTCTCTACACGACTCATTGTTTGTTATGATTCACACAGTTGAATAGTCTCGCATAGTCAATACAACACAAGTAAACATCTTTCTGTTATTCTCTGCTTTTAGCCAAGATCCGTCTGAGTTTAGCAGTGATCTATATCCCTTGTTTCTCGACCAGGTCTAAATTTCTGGTAACTCCCTGTCAGTGTGCTGCTGTCCTTATTTTTCCTTAATTATCTTCAACACACTTTCCCATTGTTGTTGGTGGTGCCATGGAGTTGGCTCTGTCATACAATGACCCTTATGCACAGCAGAATGAAGTAGCACTGGTTCTGCCTCGCGCCCAGAATTGGTCTTATGTTTGAGACTGTCACTGCATCTACAGTGTCAAGTCATCTTGTCCAGGTCCTTTCCCCCCTCTCTCCTTACACTTTACTAAGCTTGACGGCCTTCTCCAGAGACTGTCTCTCTTGACAACATGTCCAAAGGATTTAAGATGAAGTCTTGTCATCTTTGTTTACAAGGGGCAGTCTGGCTGCACGTTGTCCAAGACAGACTTGTTTATTTTTTGGCAGTCCCTGATACTTTCAGTGCTCCTCATCTGCACTATGATTCAAGTACATCGATTCTTCTTCAGTCTCTATTATTCAACGTCCAACTTCCACTTGCACATGTGGTAATTAAAAATACCAGAGCTTGGGTCAGGCGCACCCAAGTAACGTCTTTGCTTTTCAACACTTGAAAGAGGTCCTGTGCAGCAGATTTACCCAATGGATCGTGTCCCTTGACCTCCTGATTGTGCTTCCATGAGCATTGATTGTTGAGCCAAGCAAGAGAAAATCACTGACAACTTCAAGCTTTTCTATTTAGCATGCTGTTACTTATTGGTCCAAGTGTGGGGATTTTTTTACATTGAGCTGTAATCCAGATTGAAGCTGCAGTCCTTGATCTTCATCAGCAAGTGCTTCAAGTCTTCCTCATTGTCAGCAAGCAAGCGTGTGTCATCTGCACACCACAGATTGTTAAAACGCTCTCCTCCAATGGTATACTGCATTCTTCTTCATATAATCCAGCTGGTCTGATGATTTTCTCAGCATACACATTGAAAAAGCAGAGTGAGAGATACACCCCTGATGCACACCTTCCCCAATTGTAAACCATGGAGTCTGCATTCCATTGTTTTGTTCGCATAACTGCCTCTTAATTCATGGATAGTTCTGCATGAATACTGTGTAGTATTCTGGGTTCTCAGTCTTCTCAAGGCGTATTAATTAAAATTTTACTAGCATGTGATATTAACGATGTTGTTTAGTACTTTCCATATTCTGCTGGATTACTTATTTTTTTGCAATGGGCAGAAATATGGATTTGCTCCAGTCCAATTTTCTGGGAACAGACTAGTGAGTGCTCCCAGGACTGTGTCAGTGTTTTGAAACATCTCTATTGGTGTTCTGCCAATTCCTGAAGCCTTGCTTTTTGCCACTGCCTTCAGCACAGTTTGACCTTCAGTCTCCTCAGCGGTCTATTGGTTCTTGATCATAAGTTGCATATTGAAGTAGTTGATTGTAGAGCAATTCTTTTTGATATAGTGACTGCATATTCCTTTCGTTTTCTTTGATGCTCCCTGTGTAATTCAGTATTTTGCCCATAGAACCCTCCAATATTTTAACTCAACGTTTGTATTTTTCTTCAGCTCTTTCATATTGAGATGTGACTGAGCCCGAGCCTCTCCTTCTCTCGTGACTGTCCAACGCCACGTCTTTGTGCATTGGGTTGTAGGGCTTACTTCGCCTTCCCTCGCTTCCTTCTGAAAATTGCCATTCCGCTTTCTTACTGCATCACTTCTTTCATTTACTTGAGCACTCTATGTTCCGGAGCAAGCTTCAGACGCTCTTCTGACATCCATTTTAGTCTAGTTTCTGTCTGTAGATTTATCTATCCTGAGCTGCGTGTAAAGAAAATCAAAGAAAAATCCCCCAAATGACACCACAGAAAAGCCCAAATCAAAAGAAAGCAGAAACTAATATAAGCGGACAAATTAATAGGTCAAAAGGGAAAATGAATCTGATGTTAAATTTCAGCGTAACTATATCTGCATCAGTTCACTTTCAAACCACTCTGTCTGAGGGCAAGGCTATTCATGTCTTAAGACAAAGGACCAAGGGAATTCGACGGAGGCTTAATCCATGTGGGGACTCGGCATATGGATTTTAGGCTGTCACTGTCATCCACGGTCACATAGGTTGGTGTGCTTTTTCCATGTGGACTTAGCTGACCCCTAATTTAGATGGCTGATTGTTTTAAGGAACGTTTTTAAGACCTTTTCTGATAGCTTGGCACTATCTGATTTCTTCACCATACTTTGCTATAGCACCTGTATCTTCAGTGACCCCTTCATGGCAAATATTGAGTAGAACCATATCATAAGAACTTATTGTTCTTAGGTTAGGGCTTATAGTGTTGTGAAAGCTTAAAATCAATTCATATGTTCAATGTTTATATGTATCTATTCCAGTTTAGTGACAGCATTATCAGTTTTATGTATTTATTTTTAGAAATATAAGTAACTTCAATGAGGTCTTTGGTATTTGGCATTTCTACTAACAGTGTCAATAAACTATTCAATGATATAGACTTTGAAAGTGGCATATAAGGTAGTCTTAATTTGCTGACATTGAAAGCAAGAGGTTTTAAGCAGAAGTCCAATGACCTCCAAATCCATGACCTTGGGGAGCAGTCTTCCTCTTCTCTCATTAGGGTTCCCTAGGCTGTAATCCTGACCATGTCGATTGCCAGTTCTCCTCTCCTGAGAAGTGGCGGGTAGGTTTGAAGTCCACTTCTTATTCAGCAGCCGAGTGCTAATCCATCGAGCAACCAGGGCTCCTTTCATTTCATCTCAAAGAAAGCTAGATCCTCTGGCATCGAGACCATTCCAACAGATAGCAGCCCCATAGGCTAACGTAGAAATGCTCCTTTGCTTTTCCAAGATAGTGCATCTTAACAAGAGCCCATGGCACACCTTTCTCATACCTTAGAGCCACTGAGGATTCAAACCTCATACCTTGTGGTTACAGACCAATGCTTATCCCACCACACCAAATCTCCTCTGTATTCCTTGTAACATTCACTAGGAAACACCCCAAAGTACCTTTTCCCAAAAACTCAATTGAATAAGCACTTCACAAACACAGAAAGAGAGCTTCGGAGAGTAAATAGAAGAGTTGGAATTTTGACTCCATGTTTAATTTTTTCTCAAGAAAAGATTAGATTCTGACCTAAAAGGAAGATTAGATTCTCCATTTTCTATAAAGTATCTACTCTATAGGAAGTCTTTAGGATTAGAGCTAAATTTTATAAAGGGGCCTAATGTGAGGTCGGGCATTTCTCAGGTTTCTTCTGAAAGGGGTGATCTCTTATGATGTGCAAGAGACTTAAACAAAATTCTACATCTCTACTTTAATTGTGCATCTGTGAGATGTTTCTTTCAACATATTGAATCATAGTTAAAAGAACTAATAGGCAACATAACCCAGAAGCAAATTCAATCATTAGGAAGCATACTCAAATAACTTTAGGCAGCATCATAGACAATTTATATAGGAACTTAAAGTGATTGTTATTTTTTATTTAGTTAGTTTACAATATCATAAACCCAAACCAATGTTCATGGAGTCAATTCTGAGTCAGGAAAAGCCTGTGGATATGAGAGAAGAACTGCTCCATCGAATTTCCAAACTTTCAGAGCAGAGGCCTCTTTTCCGAGGTACCTCTGGATAGGTTTGAACCACCAACCTTTAAGATAAGTAGCCCACCACCTAACTGTTTATGCCAATCAGAATTTTTTTTCTTCAATATAATAAGAGTATATAGTTATGGAATATTTATTGAGTTTTTTCATTTTAAAACCTTTTTACCATCTTGAGGTGTAATTTATATGTAATAAATGACACCCATTTTGAGCGTTTGAGTGTGCATTTAACAAATGTATACGTGTAGGTAAATACCACCCCAAGCAAAATATGAAATATTTCCATCACCACCTGTGTTAGTCTGGGTACAATAGAGAAACAAATCCGCAGAAGCTCATATGTATTAGAGAGAGTTTTATATAAAGGGTAAGTGCACATCAAGAAAACATCACAACCCAGTGCTTCCCAAGCCCACAAGTCCAACATTAGCCCATATGTCCAACACCAGTCCACAAAGTCCTCCTCCATCCCAAAAACACACACATGATGCCAACTGCACGGGTAAAGCCGAATCAGTGTAAGCATCTCAGTGCTGGCAGGAGTCTCCACACTGCTGCTCCAGCACCCAGGGCTGCACTGGGGTAGGTCCATGTGGCTTCTCCTTGGGAATGTCTTGAAGGAAGTGAGCCTTGCCAGCTGAAGCAGGGAACTGACTCAAGCAACTGCACCCTGGTCCGACTATCAGAAAGCAAGAAATCCAAGAACTAGAAAGGCAAAGCTCACTGAGCCATTTATCCCCCCACCCTTCAATTAATCCCACATGTGTTTATCGGCCAGGTTGACACAATAATCTTCAACTATGTCACCACCCAAAATATTTGAATTTCAAATTGCCCTGGAATTTCACCATATGGGTGCAATCTAGGACTATTTGATCTTACCCCTGGAGGACCCAAAGGCCAAAAAGAGATATGTGTGTAAGGCATTCAGGAAAATGTTTTCTATTCATGGCTCTAACAGGAATCTTGTTCCCTTGCTGATGTTTCCTTAGGAAGTGTCCCTGGTACAAGAGACACAGAGGACTGCTGCTAAGGAAGTCTACATTGGAATCGGGATTTTTGCTGCAGTGCTGCTCTGTCTTTTGGTTGTCTTGATTATCCGAAGTAAGTCATTGTTGGCTTGGGCCTAATGCAGCAGAGCAAGGGCTCCAGCGTCACAGGGCTTGGGCTCCAGTAACTCCAACTCTTTCCTGGCACACGACTTTGGTTTTGAATAACTTTCCTTTAACTCATCCATAAAATGCATGTGGCTTCCACCTACCTCCAGGTGGGTGTGAGTTTTAAAGGAGTTAAAAACAAAGAGCAAACACATTGCTATTGACTCGATTTTGACTCAGAAATGAGCCTGCAGAGCACAGTGGGATTGCCCCATAGGATTTCTAAGGATGTAAATCTTTCTGGGAGCAGACTACCACATCTTTCTCCCTTGGAGCTGCTGGTGGGTTTGAACCACCAACATTTCAGTTAGCAGCTCAGCCTTCTACTCACCCTGCCAAAAGAGTTCCTTGCAAGAAGTAAGGGTCAACTCAAAAAGCTATTTTTATTGGCATAGAAAAGGCTATTGTTACCTTAATGCTTAAAATGAATATTGATTGACTAGTATAAAGTGAAAACAAAGATAATGAATTGGGGATTTTGTAAGATATAGAATTTAAATACAGATGTATCCTGCCTGCCCATCTCCAGCTTCCAAGATCAGAATGAGTGGTCCTATGAAATCTTTAAACTGCAATGGAGTAAAGTGCAAAAGCAATTAGCATTCACTTATATTGGGAAGTTATGATGAGCATTCTTTACCTGAAAAAATATCTTACCTACTAACACACAAAAGCTATAATAACACTAACTTACAGTGTTCACAGTCACAGTTCAAAGCTGTGAAGGCTTGATACTAAAGCTCTGAGTTTAATGAACATGTAGACATCACTCTTGATACTGAAGTTTTGTGCTGCCTCTATAACAAACTGTGAACCAAAATCAAACCAAACTACTGCCACCAAGTCCATCCTGGAACATAGTGACCCTCCAGGACAGAGTAGAATTGCTCCCCAAGGTTTCCAAAGGTCTACATCTGGTAAAGAGCAGACAACCCCAACTAACCCACTGCAGCATCAAACAAACTCAAACCACACACACAGCTGTCAGGCCGATTCCAACTCAGAGAGACCCTAGGACAAAGCAGACTGTCCCTGTGGGTTTCCAAGGCTGTAAGTCTTTATGGGAACAAACAGCCTCACCTTTCTCCCGTGGAGCCACTGGGGGTCTCAAACTGCTGACCTTGCGCTTTGCAGGCAACTCATAAACCATTATTCCACCAATCTGTTAGACTCGCATAGCGTAATATTTCATTTTCATTTATAATTTGACACATACACCCACAAGAGAGCCCTGGTGGCACTGTCAGGTAAGCTTTGGACTACTAACTGCAAGGCTGGAAGGGGTTATGTGTTCAAGCCCACCAGCCTCCCCTCAGAGAAAGATGAGGCTATCTGCTGCTGTAGAGATTTACAGCATGGTGGGAATCAATTCAATGGCAGTGGATTTGGATATACATCCATACATTCAGGCTTATTTGCCTCTGGTTATTAATAATTAAATTTCTATTTTTTAAATGAAGAAAACTCAGGATTTCTGAAATGGTTTCCAGAAAATTGGCATTAAATCCAAAATTTGAAGGAAATCACAGGTATTACTGAAGGTTTTAGGGAAAGACTTCTTCATATTTTCTTTTCTTTGTAAAATATTCTTTTGTAGTTCTATACGTAATTATATTTAAGCTCTGATTTCCATAAAGGTTTTGTGTTTATGCTAAACTAATAGCAGGCATAATGTTTTCAATTGGATATCATGAACCCATTTTCTGACATGTTTTGTTTTTGTGCTGACGCCCCCCCCCCATATAGAGCAGTTCTACATGAGAAACAAGCTGCAACAACTAAGGTAAGTTGGACAGGGTTTGCACGGACACTTTTTGATGTCTACACTCTAGAAAAAGCAAAGAGAAATCTTCTTTCCATTTCTCTCTCCTTTTTAAATATATGTTTTTTAGTTTTTAAAATATTTTTAATAAATACTCCGGACCCTAAAAATTCAGCGTAAGGAGCCTGACTTTCATTTTTCAAACCCACTAGTAATATTACCAGCATTTCTATTTCGTGTTGTTGAAGAAAACCTCAAGTCTAGCTTCTTAAAGCAATAGAGCAGGATTGCACATTTTGCTTGCTGCAACTGAACATTTGTATGATTGTTTGGTTTATACTCTCCTTTCATTTAGTGCTATGATTATTCAATGCTTACTATATTCCGGAAAGATGAGCAACACAGACAGAAAACATATAAGCAAATAAACAGTGCACCTTCATATGCTCTCATATAAACACCACGTGAAACATAGACTATGGTAATGGGCTGGTTGAGAGATCACTGGAGGAGCTCTGCAGAGAGCCTAAAAGACAATTACTGGCTAAAGACACAGGAGGTGCAAAGGCACTGAGGTGGAGCCCATGTCTCCAGTTCTCCATAGTTCCCAACATTCCCTCTGCTACATACCCAGATTGCTCCACTTATATATATTAGCTGTCTGCCCATTAGGCATTTGAATTTATAACCATTGGATAGCTCTTTCACTCCATGGGTTCATATGTGGATGAAGCGCTGGCGCCCCACACAGCCAGTCTCGTTCATTTGGGAACAAAAGTGATGCTGCTATTTCAAACCTGGTCTGTTCTGTCCCTTCCTGGCTTTACTTTTCCACAACTCTTTCTACAGAGTGGTCACATTTAACGCCCCTCAGAGCGGAGTGTTGCAGAACGCAGCAGGCCGAGCAGAGGACAATGTCTACATTATCGAAGAGAATCTTTACGTCATGGATTGAGACCGATTGGCCCTCCAGGGCTTTATCCCCTGAAGACTGCAGAAGACACCGATCCAGGGTCAGACTTCGAAATTCCAGAACCATTTTTCTGTGTCATTTCCTCCCAGCATCCAACATGTCAGTGACATTGAGTTGCGTGACTCTCCAGCTTTAATCTGTGTGCAATCATCCCCAGTGGTGCTATCATAACCCCCTCTGTTAACCCTGAACTGGCTCAAACATTCTGACGAGATCAGGAGCTCTTTCTTAAACACAAAATTTTAGAACCGGATATTTAAAAACAAAACAAAACAAAAGAACACTGCATAGAGCCAGACTGCTTCACAGGATTTCCAAGCCTGGGCATCTTTATGGGCGCAGAAATGCCATGCCTCCACATCCTTTTTTCCTGTCCTTCAGCTGGTTGCTTCAAACTGTTGAGTTAGTCACTAATTTCAGCCTTCCAGCTCGAGTAAATCCTGGGGACGGAGCTCAGAACCTGGAAGTTTAGGAGGGTAGGGTGCTTGCTCTCCGAGACAACATGTTCTGTGTTATTCTGCAGGGTTCAAGCAAATGGATGGCCCCTCTGTGAATAAAGGCCATATGGGAAATAGGCTGGGGAACACTGTATACTACATTTCCTGACAGTGTTAGCCTGATCTTCCTCCACCCAGATTTACTCTCCAGTATCTTCTGTCTTTAGCCAGTAGGCATACAGCTAGAGATTTGAAATGAAAACGCAGATGTGTGGCTTCTCTGAGCAGACCCTCTACACAGCACACGGGGCTGTCCTGGACCTCCGCACTCACGTTTGCGCCACACCTGCTGTGTGGGGTTCCTGCTCTGGTCTCCACCCACCTCCTGGGGATTTCAAGTGCATGTTACAGGCTTGAGGAACCTTCGTTGAGTCTAAAATTCCCCAAACTCGTTAGCGTAGATGCCTCATTCAGAGCACACCCCACTGGAGCACAGGGTCAACGGCTGGCAGATGTGTTTCTGCAACAGCAGCATACACCAGGAAACATCAGGGCTCATTGCTTGGGCTTTTTTTTAAGCCTAAAATTTCCCATCTCGTAAAAACGATCATTTCCACCATTACCACTATACTTTGTATGATGGTAAATTTTAACGAGATGGTTCTTGGTGAAATTCTTTGAAAAGTACACACTACAAAAATGAAAGGTTGTTTTTGTTTGTTTCTTGTCCCCCACCCAGCAGAACTTAATAGCCAACCGACCATTACTGCACAGTCAATACTTTCAATGGGGCTGCATTCAAGTCTCTAGGCTATATTGAACCTCTTGGTTTTAATAATATTTCTTATTTTGAAAAACACAATGCTTGGTTATTTGGCTTCATGCGATTGCTGCTGGATTGAGATGTACAGATTTGTCAATAGTTGCAAAGCAGGAATGGATAAGAGGGGAGCCGAGGGAGCATTTGGTTAAGGACACGAAACTCTTGTCTGTAAATATATCAGTCTTGTAAAATGTCTAGAATATTTTTGTTTTTGGTACTTCGAAACACAATTGAGATTCTATTATCTACAATCTGTCTGGGGCCACTAGGGCACTGGTGTAATTCAGACTGCATATTTAAAATTAAGCAATTTTGCACAGCTTAGAGAAACAACAGAACTGATCTTTCACTGGTGGCGTGAGAGCTTGAGGAGTACTTAGTGCCTGCCTCGTTTCATTTGTATGTGCACTCAGCAATAAAAGAATTTTCAGTTTGAAAACTGGCTTGCTATTTTCTCAGGTTTATCAGGAGGTGGTTTGGCCCTGAGAGTCACGGGAGGTATAAAGGGATTGAGAGCTCTGATGTGTCAGGAACTGCAAGTGCTGGGGTGTGACACAGAGGATCCTGAATGGCACTTCCCCAGGACCTCAAATTTAGTAGCGAAGGAACACAAAAACCGTTATTGCCAGTATCAATTGCCGCTAAGAAAAGGTAAAAGAGAATGGGATACAGCAGGGCCACTCACCTTGTGGCACTGACATTTCCAAAGTTCCAAAACCAAGCTCGCCGTGTTGATTGTGACTCACACAGACCCTGTGCTGTGGTTTTCAGCGTCATCGAGATGTCTCCAATCCCAAGAACAGCAGCACAAAACACCACCCAGTCCGGCAAGATCCTTACAGTTGTTCTTAGGTTGGAACTCACGATTGAACCACCATGACAGTCAGTCTTGCTTTATGCTGCCCACCCCTCCACCCAGCATGGTGTCCTTTGCGATGGTCTGGCTTCTCCTAATAAATGCGTCCGAAGTGCGTGAGACCAAGTCTTGCCCTCTCGCTTCTGTGGAGCATGCAGCAGTCCTTCCAAGATCGATCTGCTTGTTCTTTTGGCATTCCACAGACCTTTGAGGATTCATCTCCAGCACCACAACCCAAATCCATCCGTTCTTCAGCCTTCCTTATTCGATGTCCAGCTTCACATGGGTCGGAGGCGACTGAAAATGCCAAGACTTGAGTCAGCCACATCTGAGTCCTCAAAGTGAAATCCTCGGTCTTCAGTACATTGAAAAGATATTATGTGGCAGAGTTGGCCAAGCAATGCGTCTTTTGATCTCGTGACTGTTGCTTTCATGAGCATTGATTGTGGACCCGATCAAGATAAAATCCTTGACAACTTAAATCTTTTCTCTGTTTATCATGCTGTTATCTATTGGTCCAATCGTGAGGTTTTCTTTTTTTTTTTTT